TAAAATGTTACCTCCATTACCATTATATTAGTACTCATTCATAGAATAAGAAAATCTGGTTCATTGAAGATGGACAGGAGAATGTTTATGATTTACTTTAATGTATTCTTCATTGCAAACCATCCTTACTAGATAAGTCATCTAAAAGTAGGAGCATATAATAGTGAATATATTTCCCATGACTTATTATTTTCCTGTTTTTCCCCTTTCTCTCTATTTAGGTTACCTACATCTCATACTTGCTTTAATGTCCTTTTACTTCCGGAATATTCAAGCAAAGAAAAACTTAAAGAGAGATTGTTGAAGGCCATCACGTATGCCAAAGGATTTGGCATGCTATAAAAAAAAAAAAAAAAAAAAAAAAAAGGAAAAGAGGAAAAAAAAGTTTTAAAAAATTTAATAAATATAATAAGAGGGATAATTTGGTGGTGATAGTGTCCCAGTGCAAAAAGGCTGTAAGATAGTGAACCACAGTAGTCATCTATGTCTGTGCCTCCCTTCTTTATTGGGGACATTGTGGGCTGGAACAGCAGATTTCAGCTACATATATGAACAAATCCTTTATTATTATTATAATTATTTTTTTGCGTGAAAGTGTTACATATTCTTTCACTTGTATGTACAGAGAGGTTTTTCTGAATATTTATTTTAAGGGTTAAATCACTTTTGCTTGTGTTTATTACTGCTTGAAGTTGAGCCTTTTTGAGTATTTAAAATATATATACCAACAAAACTACTCTCCCAAGGAAAACATTGCCACCATTTGTAGACCATGTAACCTTCAAGTATGTGCTAATTTTTTGTCCCTGTATCTAACTCAAATCAGGAACTGTATTTTTTTTTAAATGATTTGCTTTTGAAACTTGAAGTCTTAGAAACAGTGTGATGCAAGTACTGCTGTTCTAGCCCCCAAAGAGTTTTCTGTACAAAATTTTGAGAATCAATGAAGATGGAAGGGAGAACTTGGAATGTTTGAACCGCAGCCCTTGGAACTTTAGTAACAGCACAACAGATTAAAACAACTCATGCCACAGTATGTTGTCTTCATGTGTCTTGCAATGAACTGTTTCGGTAGCCAATCCTCTTTCTTAGTATATGAAAGGACAGGGATTTTTTTTGTTGTTGTTGTTATTGTTGGTCTTGTTTTAAGTTTACTGGGGAAAGTGCATTTGGCCAAATGATAGGGTAGTCAAGCCTATTACAACAAAGTTTGTTGTTTATTATAAACAAGCATGTGAAAGTGCACTTAAAATAAACCTTTAATTACTTATTACCTAGATTTTAAATAGACAATCCAAAGTGTCCCCTTCATGTTGCCATCATCTTGTTTAATCAACTTTTTTCAAGGCACCTGATCAGTGTTGCAGTATAACAGAAAGGATGGCTACTGTGCCTTGTGTTACTTAGTCATACAGTAAGCAGGCCTTGAAATGAATGGAACTATTACTCCTGAGAATTACATTGTATATCCCCAAAGATTAAATTTTACTTAAGAAAGTGTTAAAGATTTCATCTACTACAAAAAGTACAAATAGGTTTAAATGACTGGATATTTAAAGTAGTAGTTTCCCATTCCTAGTCTTCTGTATCTATGATGTTAATTTCTTTTGTTGCATTATAAAATAAAAGGATTATGTATTTTTAACTAAGGAGAGACATATTGGTATATCATTTTACTACAAGCTACAGCTAACCTGCTGAGCTTGTGCCTTGATTGTTTTAACAATTAGTGCAAATCAACCTGATGCTTTAAAATGACTGGGGGAAAAAATGCAGCTTTCAAATCACTGGAGGGGGAAAAAGGATGTCTTTCAGGATTATTTTAATTATTGTAGTAATTGAGACAGAACTATTATTTTCTGTAATGCTAAATAATGTGGTGGCATTTTTAAAAACCATAATTTAATGGGAAAAAAGAACACAGTGCTTTCCATATTGTGATAAGGTAACATGGGGTTTTTCTGGGCCAGCCTTTAGCACACTGTTTAGATATGTATGCTACCTTGATGCAAGGAACGCTCAATGTGACTGTGGTCATCTTAAAGGGCCTCTCATCCACTGTGCTTCTTATGTATTATGAAAGTGATAATAGGAGAAATTAAATGGGGACATTTTATAAAATAAATTCATGAAGAAATTTGTGCTCTTCAGTTCTCCAGTTTTATGATCACTACAGTGTTGAAGTAGTTGCAATAGTATATTTGTGTGAAGCATTTTTAAATGATGATATAGGCTATCAGACAGAAGTAACACCAATATATTTAATAGACCCACCCTTAAATTTTTTATGAGAAAAAAAATCACTGCTCTCACTTGCTTACTAATTAGTTTTTCTGGGCATAATAGCACATTATTATGACTGCCTTTTCATTACTGCTTTATTAGAATGTCATGGAATAGGATCTTAAGAACAAAAGAAAACCTTTTAGTATTGTAGAACATTTCAAACATACAACATAAAAGCACAACCTGCAGCCAAACTTTTCTGGAGCCTGACAGCTGCAGCAAATAAATGAGTGTCTGTATATACTATGGTCTTAGTTAATTGTGTGATAAAATCCAGTTAAAATTTATCTTTATATCCCCCTGTAGGGAGGTATACATCAAAAGGAAACCTGAAAATGAGGCTTCTAAGCAGAGAACTTGCTCACATTACTCATTCCTCCTTGACACAAGTGTCTTATTAGAAAGGACATAACTTGTAATTGGGCAGCACCACTCCCTGTTTCCACAAGAAAATGACTGTGCTGAGATTTCAAGCCTTTTTAAAGATTTTCATAAGAATACATACAAAGCTATTCGAGAACAAAGTGTTTTTCTAATGCTACTCATCATGAAGTTTATCCCCTTAGCTGCTTATCTCAAAGTTATTATTTCTGATCTTAACATTAGCCACTCTCTAAAGACTTTATCTTCCCCGCCCTTCCTTGGGCCACCAGAATTTTACAAAAATAGTAACTGTCACATGCTGCTTCTCTTGTCTTTCCTCCTCTTGATGTTAGAATGTAAAGAAATCCTTCAATTTAGGGAGGAAAGTGTTTACAAGGATAGAGTCCCTCCAAGGCCCTTTTTTGCCCCCTTCTGCATTCAGATCAATGAATTAACTAACTTTTGTTAACAATTAGAGGACAGTTTAGATGCAGATGCGGACTACATTTCACTGTGTGAAAGCTGCTCATTCAGTGATATTTCACTGAAAATTTACAAGGATTCTCATATTCTCCTATTTGCCAAAATTAAGAAATCCTGTCTTAAATCTTGGTAACACGGTAAAATTGGGCTACTGTTTCAACTGCTTGTTTTTTTGTTTTGTTTTGTTTTTTTGTTTTTTTTTGTTTGTTTGTTTGTTTTTTGTTTTTTTCCTACCCCAGGCAATCTAGATCTCTTCTGATTCTACTTAAATTTCTTGTCTAAACTTTCTGGTCAACCTCAATAACTCCCCAGAATTCTTCTCCAGCTGTGTTTCTTCTCAGACCTCTCTCTAGGAAGTCTTCCTGATTCCTCAAAGTCAGTACACCTGAAAACAAAATTCCAAATGTGTCTCTCCTGTCCATTCTTTATTGCTTTCTTAAAAACTATTCCTTTCAGGGGCTGGTGGGGTGGCTCAATTGGGTAAAGTCGCTTGCCATGCAAAGCTTGGTGACCTGAGTGTAATCCCTGAAACCCATGTAAAAGTGGAACGAGAGAGCAGCTCCAACAAAGTTGTCCTCTGATCTTTATGTGTGTGCCATGGTAATGATCCCCCCCCCCAATCATACACACTTCTGCTAATAATACATTGTAAAAAAAAAAAAAAAAAAAAGATTTAAATTTCACCTTTACCCCAGCTATTGAAATTTTTCATCCCTTAATTGTTGCAGGCTGTTGGGGGTTTTTTTCTCTCAAATCTCTTCCATTCTTTATTTCCATCCCTGATCTTTTACTGAACCTCATGCTTCCCAGGTTTTCTTTCTCCCTGACTCTTAACTACTTCTAATCATCTTCATTGTCCTGAAACTTGTTTTTTCTTACATTAATACCCTCTTCCTCCCAATTGCTTCCCCTTTGAATAAATCTGCATCCATTGCCCCATATAGGTGGATTTCTACATAACTTCCCAATATATCCTATTTATAAGCACCTCTCTACATCCTTACCCACCATCTTCACTCAGACCTATTTTGTACAACTCAGTTACACTTTTATGTTTTTAAAGCATCATGCCCAAAAGACTGATTCAGGGAACCCCAGTGCGCCTCCACATCCTAGCATAGCATGGTGAGTCACATTGTTGGAACAGTTTAGAAGGCCTTAGGAAATGACTATCCTTCCACATTACAGCTTTGATTTTGAACCTTCCTTTGAGGTTTTTTTCTTGTACTCCTATGTGGAATCTAAGTTCACAGTGGAAATTATCTTTTTAATCCTTCTGACTCTCACGGGCACTAAGTACACACTGGTTAAGAATATACTCCTGGAAGAGGAGACTTTGGAATCACTGACAGTCACTTTAGTCTTATGGAAAACGAGGTTAGAGGGTGGAAATGATTAGGGCTGTGAAAGCACAGTGTGTAAAATTCCACTACATCCATCCTTATGATATGCTCTCAATTAGGATCCTCTGCAGCCATCTCCTCTGTGCCATACTCTTCCCTCTTTCTCACAGCAGAGATGTGAGCTGATACCTTAAACCGTTCTGTTTTTAGTCCCTTAAATTTTTAAGGAGCATTCCTCAGCCAAACAGTTATCTATATGTATGTGAATCACATTTAACCTTTTCCTTTGCTTAAGTCAAATTAGTGTCTAAAGAGGTGGTTCAGTGACTGTCAAGTACTTGTGCACATGGTTTTTCATCTTCACAAAATAGGTCACTGTAACTTGAGAGGTTATGCATCTTGCCAAAAGATGTGGAACCAGTAAAAAGGTGAATAGAGGTATTGGCCCACATATCCATCTAAAATCTGTCAATCTTGCCCTTGTTAAAATTCACAAATCAAGTTAAGATTTTTAGATGTGACCTGAGATAACTATCCTAATTATTTTCCATTCTCCAAAAATCCATTGACAATAGGATGTGATGTATTTGGGAAATGGTACGCAGTGGTTGAGGGTGCAGCCTTCACAGTCAGATGACTCTGGTTTTTAGTCTTGGCCCTGCCATTCCCTTGGCTTGGATTATACCCAATCCTACCTTATCACTGGTTGTGTGGTTTCAGTGAAATTGCTGTATGGATGCTAGACAACATCTTGCAAGACATCCTGAGAGGAGTTCTCCCAACATTTGCCAGTTAAAAATATTGAGAGATTGGAAATGTTTGTAAAGATTTATTTTGGAAGAGCTTACCTTATCTCATCCATCTTAAAATGGAAGAGATGTGCTTTCCCTCATCTTTATTTGAGATACAATTCATATAGTATAAAATTCACCCTTTTAAAAATTGTAAAATTTGTGACTTAGTATATTCACAAAATTGTGCAATTGTCATCATTATATAATTCCAGAGCATTTTTCATCACTGTAAAAAGTTTTCTGTACCCATTAGGAGTGACTGCCTGTTCTTTACTCCCAGCCCCTGGCAACCACTAATCTACTTTCTGCCTATGGATTTGCCTATTTTGGACATTTCATATCAATGGAGTCATACAATATGTGGCCTTTTGTGTCCCCCCCCCCTTAGAATAATGTGTTCAAAGTGCATCCATGTTGTAGCATGTATTGGTACTATTTCTTTTGTGGCTGAATAATGTCATTGTATTGATATACTGTATTTTTTGTTTGTCCATTCAGTTGATGGATACTTGTGTTGTTTCTGCTTCTTGGATGTTGTGAATACTACAACTATGAACAATTTGTGTACAAGTTAAGTTTTCATTTTTCTTATATTTTGTAAGCATCTTACAGTTTTAGTTCTTATATTTAGGTCTTTGATCCATTTTTGCATGTGGTGCATTATAGGGGTCCAGCTTCATTCTCTGGTATGTGGATATCCTGTAGAACAAATACTAATTGTTGAAAAGACTATTGCTTCTTTATTAATAGTCTTGGCACCCTTGTCAAACAAAAGCAAAGCAAAAACAGAACAACCACACATAACTGAATTGACTGTAAACATAAGACTATTTTTGGACTCCTCAATTTTTTTCCATTGTCCCGTGTGTCTGTCCCTATGCTAGTACCACACTGTCTTAATTACTTTAGCTTTATAGTAAGTTTTTGAATATGGAGTGTGTGAGTCTTTCAACTTTGTTCTACTAAAAGATCATTTTGTCTTTTCTGGGTCCCTTGCATTCCACATGGATTTTAGATTCAATTTGTTAATTTCTGCAAAACACCTGTGATTCTAGTAGTTACTGTGTTGAATCTATAGATCAGATCAAAGAATGTTACTATTTTAACAGTATTAAATTTTCCAATTCATGAACATGAAGTGTCTTTCCATTTGTTTAGAGGTCTGTAATTCCTTTCAGTGATGTTTTATAGATTTCAGTGTATGCATCTTTACCTCTTTGTTTAAATTTTTTCATAAGCATTTTATTTTTGATGCTATTACAATTATTTTATAATTTTTATTTTTGGGTTATTCATTGCTAGCATCTAGAAATACTGTTGATTTTTGTGTATTTTTGAACTTGTATACTTCAGTTACTCTGAATTAAATTTTCTGTATATATGATTATGCATCCGTGAATAGAAATACTTTTGCTTCTTTTCCAATCTGGATTCTTTTAATTCATTTTCTTGTCTAAGTGCCCTGGCTAGCACATCCAGTACAATATTGAAGTGGCAAGAGTGGACATCTTTTTCTTGTTCCTGACTTTAGGGGGAAAGCATTAGGTTTTTCGCCATTAAATATGATGTTAGCTGGGTTTTTCATAGATGCTTCAAGTTGAGGAAATTCCCATCTACTCCTACTTTGTTGAGTGTTTTTTATCAAAAAAGATATTGAATTTGTCAAATGCTTCTGTATCTATTAAGGTTGTCATGTAGTTTTTGTCCCTTATTCTATTGATATGTTGTATTACATTGATGGATTTTTGTATATTGAACCAACCTTGCATTCCTGGAATAATCCCACTTGTCTATGCTTACATAAACCATTTTCTATGCTGCTGGATTTGGTTTGCTAGTATTTTGTTTAGGATATTTGCATCTATATTCATAAAAGATACTGGTCTGTAGTTTTCTTGTTATCTTTGGTAATCAGGGTAATACTGGTCTCAAAAGAAGTTGAGATCTTTCCAGCTATCCTTAAATCCAGTGAGGTGTGTTTCAAGTACTTTGAGACTTCAATCTGTGATCTTTTGGATGTGGGGTAACACAGGAGTGATATTTGACTCTGGCAATGATCCCAGGGTAAGACATACCTGAAGTGGCCTGTGGGAGCTGGATAAAAGGCATACCAGTCATAGGTCAAGGTAGGTGTTTCTCACAGACCATACATGATTGCTGTAAGAGATGAGCCACGAGCTCTCTTGAAAATTACCTTGTGAGCTTCCTTAAGACAAACGTTTACCTTGAACCTAAGTGCCCTCTAGTATAGAAGCAGTCGGGGAGGAAAGTTTGGAAGCTAACAGTCAAGCCATATAATCTCAGTTGGAATTGCCAAGAAGGTAGATTCCCTGGAAGAAGGTTAATACCCTACTCCTTACCACCACTTACCATGATTACAACAACTTGACAAGGAAAACAGTGTATTTTCTATAGTTCCTTTTGTTGCAGAAATGTAGCTCTTCAGTGTGCATGAAGATGAAGGGATAAAGGAGGAAAACAAAACCTACCTTCAGGCTTCATATCCACAGGAAGGCCTGAGCAAGAGGTGAAGTTAGGTCTTCAGTAAGAGTTTGACATTTAAACATTTCACTGTGATGGGCTTCTCTGTGCTCCCAAGATAAAAAGTGTGGTTCCTCAATATGACTAGAAAAGCCACAAAGCTTGAGGATTCATCACCAGGTAAACCCAGAGAACAGGTTTGAAAATGAAAACCTTGTACTGTACCCAACAAGTGGAGCATCTTCAGTAGGCCTGAATGTGGAGTTTGATGGCATCAGGATAGGATTAGACAGGTTGACAGATCATGAAGAGCATTGTAGACCATAGTAATGACTATTTGCAGATATTAAGAGGCAAAGGCAGTTTTGCACTTTATTATGATATGAACTGGATGAGCATAAGTGCTTTTATGTTTGCATTTTAGAGATTGCTGCCATTCCAGAAAAACAAGGTATAATAGAAGGGGCAGTGACAGGATAGAGAACAATCAAACTAGGTCCCACACGCCTGATTAGGGTGATAGATGAGTGGATAATGGTGCTGTTGGGTCTGCACAGAAGAGCAGATTTGGGGGGGAGTGGGTAAAATGTTGAATCACATTTTATTTGAAGTATCTGTGCTTCAAGGGAACCTCTCCTAAGGCAGGTGAAAGGATAGGTCTTGAGAGAAGCCTGCGGGAGGTGAAGTTACAGGACTCTGGCACAGCAATCCATGTAACCATTTCCTCAGTGTCATAAGGGAAAAGCAATAAAGGGAGGAGAGAAGACTAAGAGCAAAGTTCATGGAAATGCAAGCATGAGTTGCACTAACCTCATAGTAAAGGAAAGATGAGAAGAAAATTTCTTGACATGCTTGATTTTGTCTCTTTTTCCACTTAGTAGACCAAACTCTAAGGTTAGGAACTTATTTGTGGCTCAGGCTCTAGTGTTTACATCAGAGTATGAACACAGTTTCTGGATCTACATAATAACTAGCCTGTCTTAGAATCTTGTTCCCATCCTACTTCCTGCCTTCATACCACAAGCTAAATGTCCTCTACCCCCACTCTCAAC